GTTTTGTAATTGATGAATTTTTTTAATTAAAAAAAAATATTGTTTTTAAAAACTTTTTAACTTGATTTTCATTAATACTACTTTCATTAATTGTGTTATTCATAAAAATGGACGGTAACATCAAGAGGAGAAAAGGTAGGGGGAAGGCAATTACAGTGAATTGAATTATAGGCGGTTTCCAGGCTAACAACCATGGATACGGGGCACATGGAAGCGAAATCAATAAATTTGGAAGAAAAAAAAAAAGAATATTAATCCGCTGACAGGAAAAAGAGGCTAAAACAGCACCTGGACATGGATGGCTGGTGCCTCTATAAATAAATCATTCATGGTCAAGGTCAAGGCCTTACCGACGTTTGTGGTGAAGCGGTTAAGCGCTTTGCTGTCGCACGCTAAAGACCATTGTTTAATTCCCAAGTGGGTAAGTTTTTACCCTCGAGCTCTCGGTATTTTTGCTGGTATGCAGTATAATTCCTCTCTGTCTGTGTTGGCTCTGACAGGCAGAAAATACTTTACTTTACTTTTACTTTACTTTTCCGATCCAGCGGCCATTTAGGTTCTAGCCCTTCGGTTTGTCGATGTGGCAAAGAATTCAGATAATACCAAACCTGAAAATGAAACAAATCTCACATCTGTGCACTGGATACAAGGCAATTAAAGCGAATAAGACGACAAAGATGATACAGTCAACATGTTTGTTAATTGTGTGTGTGTATGTGTGTGTGTGTGTGTGTGTGTGTGTGTGTGTGTGTGTGTGTGTGTGTATGTGTGTGTGTGTGTGTGTGTGTGTGTGTTTGCAAATTAGAAGCTTAATGCGAGCGGGGGGGCTTATAATGGACAAGCAGATTTCTCTCACAACCACCTGGTCTCCACGCCTTGTCTAAGAGCTTGAGAGATATTTTCTTTCTTTCTCTGTGTGGACAGAAATTCTTGGGTTCTCGCAACCTCTCTAATGCTAATTATCGCGCGAGAGAAATATTGATAGTTCCCAAAAATGCAACCAGCGCTACTGCAAAGCAGGGAGAGAAACAAACACAAACCTAAAAAGGCACACAGACACCAGCGAGCAGCGCCAATTAACTGAGTCAACAGCCTAGAACGAGAAATTTGAGCTAAGGCGTTGGAGCTCCGCCGAAATCGTCTCGGAAGGAGAGACAGTTAAGCCGGCCTTAATCCTCAAATCAATTAAGCAGCTTAAGGAATAGTGAGTCAATAGCCACTGTTGTGAGTTCTCATAGAGTCGCGAAGAAATTACCCCATCTGAGACGAATATTATCTCTAATGGCAAAAAGGATGAGGAGTGGGGGAGAGAGTGGGGAGAATAGCAATTGAAGTGTTAACACCATTCCTACAAAAAAAAACCCACAAAAATCAGCAGCAGCATTTTTTATTTGGTTAAAAAGCGAATACGAAGAGCTAAAAATTTCAGATTCATAAAATAACTGAAGGTTCGTAAGTCGCACGATGCAGCAGACTTTGAAGTTACGAAAAGAATGGGACTTCTTAGAAGCACTATAATAATCAAAATAGCAGGAATGGCAAAGAAACAAATCAGAACAAAATGAGAAAGGAATTTGTTCTGTAATGTATATAGACACAATGCTGGGAGAAGTCTAGCAGTAAGTGGAATGATTACCAATAGATTGGACGGTACCGCACACACGACATCCTTCATATTATGTCTGGTTAGGGTGCAAAAGATACAAACACACTCCGTCTACTTCTCTCTCCTTCTCTCTCTCTCTCTCTCTCTCTCTCTCTCTCTCTCTTCAACT